TAGTAATGTGTAAGACTAACCTTCACTCCTAATAAATAGGTCACTGAAACATAGTAATGTGTAAGACTAACCTTCACTCCTAATAAATAGGTCACTAAAACATAGTAATGTGTAAGACTATCCTTCACTCCTAATAAATAGGTCATTGAAACCTAGTTATATGTAAGACTAACCTTCACTCCTAATATATAGGTCACAGAAACATAGTAATGTGTAAGACACATCTGAAGAAAACAAAATTCAATGGTTTTACCTTTTTATGGTCGCCTCACAATTCTCTCTCGCTTCTTGTTTTGTCAACATAGCTATCTCAGTCATTGTGTACTGAAACAGAACATCACCTCAGTCAGGTTAACATCAACAGTATAAATACACCTGAATACTGACATTAGACACCTGTATACTGACATAGGACATCTATGTACTGACATGAAACACATGTAAATGACATAAGACACCAGCATTCTGACATAGTACATCTGTATAAAGACATAAGACATCTGTATACTGACATAGGACATCTGTATACTGACATTAGACACCTGTATAAAGACATAGGACATCTGTATACTGACATAGGACATTTGTATACTGACATTAGACATCTGTATTCTGACATAAGACACCTATATACTGTCATGAGACACATGTATACTGACATAAGACAAATGTATACTGACATAGGACACCTGTATACTGACATAATACCTCTATATACTGTCATAAGACACATGTATACTGACATAAGACACCTGTATTCTGACATAAGACACCTGTATTCTGACAAAAGACACCTGTATATTATATGACTCCAATATACTTGACATAGATATTTTTATGGTTGTTATACGTAGACACAGTATATTTTACTGACAGTAACTTGACAGTTTATCGTTAAGTATTCAAAACTCACTTTGACTAAACTGGCCTGCCGTCGGAAGTAGACACAGCCCTCCTCATCCTCGTGGTAGGGGTGGAGACACACAAAAGAGCCACATCCATCGTCATGGTTACGAGGGTCAGAGCCGTCCCATGGTTTGATAGTTATCTCTATAACATAGTCAGTGGGAAGTACACCCTGAAAACATCAAGTACACCCTGAAAACACCAAGTACACCCTGAAAACATCAAGTTCACCCTGAAAACATCAAGATCAAAAACCTTACAACATCAAATCACCCTATAACATCAAGTACACACTGAAAACATCAAGTACACCCTGAAAACATCAAGTACACCCTGAAAACATCAAGTTCACCCTGAAAACATCAAGTACACCCTGAAAACATCAAGTACACAGATATATTATAGATATACTACAGATATATCACAGATATACTACAGATATACTAGATATACGACAGATATACTATAGATATACTACAGATATACTACAGATATATCACAGATATACTACAGATATACTACAGATATACTACAGATCTACTACAGATATATTATAGATATACTACAGATATACCACAGATATACTATAGATATATCACAGATATATGACAGATATATTATAGATATACTATAGATATATCACAGATATACTACAGATATATTATAGATATACTACAGATATATCACAGATATGAATTATCTGTGATATATATGTAGTATATCTGTAGTATATCTGTGATATATCTATAGTATATCTATAATATATCTGTAGTAGATCTGTATTTTATCTGTGATATATCTGTAGTATATCTGTAGTATATATCTGTAGTATATCTGTAGTATATCTGTGATATATCTGTAGTCTATCTGTAGTATATCTGTGATATATCTATAGTATATCTATAATATATCTGTAGTAGATCTGTATTTTATCTGTGATATATTAGTAGTATATCTGTCGTATATCTGTGATATATCTGTAGTATATCTGTCGTATATCTGTGGTATATCTGTAGTTCATCTGTAGTAGATCTGTAGTATATCTGTGGTATATCTATAGTATATCTGTGGTATATCTGTGATATATCTATAGTATATCTGTGGTATATCTGTAGTATATCTATAGTATATCTGTAGTATATCTGTGATATATCTGTAGTATATCTGTCGTATATCTGTGATATATCTGTAGTATATCTGTGATATATCTGTAGTATCAGTATATCTATAGTATATCTGTAGTATATCTGTAGTATATCTGTGATATATCTGTAGTATATCTGTGGTATATCTGTGATATATCTGTAGTATATCTGTGGTATATCTGTGGTATATCTGTAGTAGATCTGTGATATATCTGTAGTATATCTGTAGTACATCTGTAGTAGATCTGTAGTATATCTGTGGTATATCTATAGTATATCTGTAGTATATCTGTGATATATCTGTAGTATATCTGTAGTATATCTATAGTATATCTGTAGTATATCTGTAGTATATCTAGTATATTTGTAGTATATCTGTGATATATCTATAGTATATCTGTAGTATATGTAGTATATCTGTATGTAGTATATCTGTAGTATATCTGTATTACATCTGTATGTAGTATATCTGTAGTATATCTGTATGTACTACAGATATACTACATTCAGATATACTACAGAGATACTACATATATACTCCAGATATACTACATACAAATATACTACAGATGAACTACAGATATACTGCATACAGATATACTATAGATATACTGATACTACAGATATACTAAATACAGATGTAATACAGGTATAATACAGATATACTACCGATATACTACATACAAATATACTACAGATATTCTACAGATATACTACGGATATACTATAGATATACTACAGATGAACTACAGATATACTATAGGTATATAGTATATCTGTATGTACTACAGATATATCACAGATCTACTACAGATATATCACAGATATAATACAGATCTACTACATACAGATATACTGTATATCTGTGGTATATCTATAGTATATCTGTAGAATATCTGTAGTATATCTGTAGTACATCTGTATGTAGTATATCTGTATGTAGTATATCTGTAGTACATCTGTAGTATATCTGTATGTAGTATATCTGTAGGTCTGTAATATATCTAGTATATCTATGAAATGTTTTCCTCATTTTGTGTAATTTGTATATTTCACAGCATATCCATATATTCATGTGTGTAACTATTTTATCCTTGATTAAGTAAAAGGTAAATAAGTATACATTTCCACACATTGTAATTTTTGGCCGGATTGCAACGCAATCAGAGCTTATAGATTGGCAATTCCTCTCTGTCCGTCCGTCCGTCTGTCTGTCTGCACTATAAGGTTAAGAAGAATGGTTAAGCTCCGTTTCCATGTTATCAATTATCCCTCATCAACTAAACTTGCATGGCTTATGTATCTAAGAATGCTTATCATAATGCTTTGGATGCTGGTTTTGACCTTCACTTTCTGCTTCAGTGACCAGGTTAAGAAGTTAGGTTGAGGTCAGGCCCCATCAGCACTATGGTTAAGAAGATTGGTTTAGGTCACTTACCAAGTAACTGCTTGTCCTTCATCAACTAAACTTGCATGGCTTATGTATCTAAGGATGTGTATCACATGCGATGCCTCAGATGCTGATTCTGACCTATATTTTCCGTTTCAGTGACCAGGTTAAGAAGTTTGGTAAAGGTCAGTTACCAAGTAACTGCTTGTACATCAACTTGACTTGCATGGCTTATGTATCTTAAAGGATGAGTTTCATGAAAATGTATTGTAACAATCCGGCCATATCGCCATTGGCGGTTTCTTGTCTATTTATGTAATCAACAATTAAAAGTACATTGGTAAAGGATTCAGGTTTAATGTAAATTGTATGTGTAAACTTGATGTTTTCAGGGTGTACTTGATGTTATAGGGTGATTTGATGTTGTAAGGTTTTTGATCTTGATGTTTTCAGGGTGTACTTGATGTTTTCAGGGTTTACTTGATGTTTTCATGGTGTACTTGATGTTATAGGGTGATTTGATGTTGTAAGGTTTTTAGGTCACCTGAGACTACATATCTACTACAGATATATCACAGATATACTACAAATATACCACAGATATATCACAGATATACTACAGATATACTATATACTACAGATATACTACAGATATATCAGAGATATACTACCACAGATATACTACAGATATACTATAGATATACTACATACAGATATACTACAGATCTACTACAGATATACTACAGATATATCACAGATATACTACCACAGATATACTACAGATATACTACAGATATATCACAGATATACTACAGATATACTACAGATATACTACATACAGATATACTATAGGTATACTACAGATATACCACAGATATATCACAGATATACTACAGATCTACTACAGATATACTACAGATATACTACAGATATACCACAGATATACTACAGATCTACTACAGATATATCACAGATATACTACAGATATACCACAGATATACTACAGATATACTACAGATATATCAGATATACAACAGATATACTACAGATATACTACAGATATACCACAGATATACTACAGATCTACTACAGATATATCACAGATATACTACAGATATACCACAGATATACTACAGATATACTACAGATATATCAGATATACAACAGATATACTACAGATATACCACAGATATACCACAGATATACTACAGATCTACTACAGATATATCACAGATATACTACAGATATACCACAGATATACTACAGATATACTACAGATATATCAGATATACAACAGATATACTACAGATGGTATATCTATAGTATATCTGTAGAATACAGATCTACTACAGATATATCACAGATATACTACAGATATACCAGATATATCACAGATATATTATAGATATACTATAGATATATGGCAGATATACTACAGATATATCACAGATATACTACAGATATACCAGATATATCACAGATATATTATAGATATACTATAGATATATCACAGATATACTACAGATATATCTGTAGTATATCTGTGATATATCTGTAGTAGATCTGTAGTATATCTGTGATATATCTGTGGTATATCTGTAGTAGATCTGTGATATATCTGTAGTATATCACAGATCTACTACAGATATATCACAGATATACTACAGATATATCACAGATCTACTACAGATCTATCACAGATATACTACAGATATATCACAGATCTACTACAGATATATCACAGATATACTACAGATATACCACAGATATATCACAGATATACTACAGATCTACTACAGATATATCACAGATATACTACAGATATACCACAGATATATCACAGATATACTACAGATGTACTACAGATATATCACAGATATAATACAGATATACTACAGATATACTACATACAGATATACTGCATACAGATATACTACAGATATAATACAGATATACTACAGATATACTACATACAGATATACTACAGATGTACTACAGATATACTACATACAGATATACTACAGATATACTACATACAGATATACTACAGACCTACAGATATACTACACACAGATATACTACAGATATACTACAGATATATCTGTAGTATATCTGTGATATATCTGTATTATATCTGTGATATATCTGTAGTAGATCTGTAGTATATCTGTGATATATCTGTATTATATCTGTAGTTTATCTGTATGTAGTATATCTGTGATATACTACAGATATACTAGATATACTACAAATATACTACAGATATTTGTAGTATATCTGTTGTCCATCTGTATGTAGTATATCTGTGATATATCTGTATTATATCTGTAGGATATCTGTATGTAGTATATCTGTAGGTCTGTATTATATCTGTATGTAGTATATCTGTATGTAGTATATCTGTGTGTAGTATATCTGTAGGTCTGTAGTATATCTGTATGCAGTATATCTGTATGTAGTATATACTACAAATATACTACAGATATTTGTAGTATATCTGTTGTACATCTGTATGTAGTACAACAGATATACTACAAATATTCTACAGATATACTACAGATATACTACACACAGATATACTACATACAGATGGACAACAGATATACTACAAATATCTGTAGTATATTTGTAGTATAT